CGCACCGAATTCAACTCCAAAATCTAAATCAATAGTTAAATGTGTCTTCACATTTATAGACTTTATATTACTTCTGTTAAAAAAAAAAAAGACCTTTATATAACTTTACTACCTTAACGATGAATCAATAGTAAATGGTACATTAGACAGGAAATGAACTATTTTACTTTTGGATTTCACTCTAATTTCTAAATAAACATTATTAATTGAATTAAATTGACATAATGTTAAAATTCAAGAGTAAATTTGATTCAATCAGACAATAATGATCAAATTGACAAAAACAAACTACAAAAATATTACAAATTAATTTACCCCCCCCCCCCCCAAAAAAAATAATAATAATAATAATAAATCCTTTACAAATTGGTGTGACAACTTCGGTTTTGCATTTTAGAGTTTTATCACTGGATCCCACATCCGTTTGTAAGAAATGAAGATTGTAATTTTTTTTTCTTTTTATTTGTATAGTAGTTTTCTTTTAGTTGACCTACTATTTTATTTTCTTGTTCACACTTATGAAAGAAGAGAGCATAGGGTGCTTTAGTGTGGGGGAAATAAAAAAATCCTATTTGACTAGTAAGTTGGCCTTTCCAATTTGTAAATTTCCTTCATAATGTACTATGCTTCATCTATTACACATCATAATCTATGCTACAATACTTTTTGTTGAGCTCACCAGAACGAAATGCCAACAAATACTTTAGCTAACCTGAAAGAAAGAAAACTCATCATGGCTTTGGCTCACGGGAAAGACATTCTTATGAGGAATTAATGCACATGTTTTCAAATTGAGTTTCATCAAAAAACTTTTTTTACTGATTTAAAAAAAAAAAAAACAAAACAAAATCGGTCAGATACAAAATACAGATAGGAAAAACACAAATACACAAAAAGTGAAGGGCCTATTTGATAACATTTATATTTAGAAATTATTATCTTCTTTATTATTAATAAAGGGAACACTTTAGTTGGCGTCCTGAACCATCCTCCACTTTAATGCCAAATGTATCCTCTACTTTAATGTCAAGTGTTCATTTTGTATTTGCTCAGAGTTTGAACTGTCTACCCAAAAAATTACCATTTAATTTCTTAGGGTTTCCACGAGGGGCCAATCCTAGGAGGATGTGCACATGGAATCTAGTAGTGGATAAGGTGAGAAAGAAGTTGTCTTCTTGGAAGAGAAAGTTGTTGTCTTTTGCTGGGCGACTGACCTTGATTACATCTGTCCTCTCTAATCTACCAATCTATTTTTTTTCAATCTTTAGAATGCCCAAGGGGGTTGTTAAAGCTTTAGTTAAACTTCAATCCTCTTTCCTGTGGGGTAGATCTGAAATTAAGAAGAAAGTGCACTTGGTCCATTGGGGGAAGGTTACCCAAAGTAAGAATCAAGGAGGTTTGGGAGTGAAAGATTTAGGTGAGGTGAATGATTGCATGTTGTTAAAGTGGTGGTGGAGATATGATTCTGATGATAAAGCCCTGTCGAAATCTGTGGTATGCTCAAGATATGGTAGAATTGATAAGGGTTGGATGCCATCTTTGAATCACTACAAGAAAAAACACCTTTGGCGACTAAATTTTTAGTCGCCAAAGGTCCTATTTTAGTCGCCAAATGTCAAAATTTCACTTTTCCCGACTAAAAAGTTTAGTCGCCCGTGTTGTCGCCAATAAATGGTCGCGAATTCCTTTGGCGACTAAAATACTGTTTGTCGCCAATATGTATGTCTTCAGCGACTAAAGATTTCGTCGCCAATAGTCAATTTCTTTATTGGAAATTATACTTTTGCCGACTAAACTGTTAGTCGCCAATAGTTCATTTTTTATTTTATTATTTATACATTTGGCGACCATTCACTTTAGTCGCTAAAAGTGTTTTCAGAAAAAAAATTTTTTTGCCTCCGCTGCTCCCAACAGGTTTCGAACTTGCGCCAAACCCTTTGCACAACACTCCCTCCACTCTGCCAGTATATCATCACATGATCATATATGCAATATATATTATTTATATACTATATTAACCGTAATTAATACAAAATAATATTTATAAATATAATTTTTTTAATTCAATATAATTTTTGTCAAAAAATAAATTATTTGCTAAAAAAAAAATTAGGCGACTTTTGGCGACTAAAACCATTTTTTAGTCGCTAATTGTATTATTTTGGGCTACTAATTATTTATTTGTCGCTAAAAAACAAGTTCTCAATTAAAAATCAGCACTTTTGGCGACTATCCAGAAATTTCGTCGCCAAAACCACTACTTTGGGCGACTAAAATGGATTTTCGTCGGCAAAACCCCCACTTTCAGCGACTAAATTGTTTTTAGTCGCCAAAACTGCTATAATCAGCGACTAAACCTGTTTTTTGTCGCCAAAACCGTAACTTTTCGCTACTAAAGTATTTTAGTGGCCAAAAACTGTGACTTTTGGCTACGAAACAAAGTTTAGTCGCTAAAAACCCTATATTCGGCGACTAAACTTCATTTTAGTCGCTAAAACCCTACTTTTCGGCGACTATACTCTTTTAGTCGCTAAAACCTTGCTTTTCGGCGACTAATTCCATTTTAGTCGCCATTTCATGCACTTTCAGCGACGAATTTTTTTTTTTTAGTCGCCGTTTGTGTTTTTTGTTGTAGTGAATATCTCGGATGGGGTGTCCTCAGTATGGAAGGAAATTGTGCAGCTCACTTCAGTTAACCAGCCTTTGGGTGAGTTTTATGGTGGCCATTTCAAGATATCAGTGGGTAATGGAAGGAGGACACAATTCTGGTATGATGCTTGGCTCACTAATAGAGGTTTGAAGGAGAATTTCCCCAGATTGTATAGTTTGTCCACTGAGAAAGATGAGTCCTTACAGAAAATTAGTGCCAAGAAGAGCAGTCTAGGGGTGTGGTAGCTCCAATTCAGAAGAAATCTCTTGGCTTGGGAGGAAGAGGAATTGCAGAGGCTGTCTGGGTTACTGGGGTCATCCCCTGCAATTAGGTTGGATCTTGAAGATTCTTGCTCTTGGCTTGCATCCAATTCATGGCAGTTCTCTGTATCCTCTGTTTGGAGGTGGTGGACTACAACGAAATGGCCTGGTTTGAAGGTTCTTGTTGGGGTGTGGGTTGGTTTGGCTCCCCCAAAAGTACAGTTCTTTTGTTGGCTAGCTTGGAGAGATAGAGTCAAGACCTCTTCCTTCTTTCATAGGATTGAGGTTTTAGCTGTCAATGCAGATATTCAGTGTGTTTTCTGCCACACTGAGGTGGAGTCTCTGGAGCATGTGCTTTTGTTTTGCACTTTGGTTTGGTAGTGCTGGTCACACATGGTCAACTGGTGGGATCAGTCCTGGGTTATACCTAGCTTTATTGAGGGTTTGCTATTGTGGTGGTCTGGTGGTAAATTGAAGTCCTGGGTCTTCAGCATGTGGCAGGTAGTCCCTTCAGCTGTGCTTTGGTCTGTCTGGAAATTGAGAAATAAGTGTTTGTTCAAGGGGGCTGTTCCAGATTTTGAAGTATTATGTGAGAGGGTGAAAGTGCATATTGCTTTGTGGGTCAAATGGTTCTTGAAGGTTGACTATTCTGTTCATGATCTTGTGTCCAACCTCCACCAGATCAGTTTGCATGTTTGATGTCTCATTTGGCTCTGGTTTTGGCAGCAGAGAGTTTCAACTACTTGAAGTTCTCGGTAGTTGCTGCTTTAGCCCTTTTCTTTTTTTGGCCTTGGTCTCTTTTTTGTGGTTTTCTTTTGTTGGTTCCTCACCAACGGCCAAGGTTTGTGCTAGCATCCGTTTTGGTTGATTTTTGCTCTCCCTTTCCCTTCATTGATGTATTTCCATACTTTGTATGTTTCCCATCAATGAAGTTTCTTTTGCGGATAAAAAAAAAAAAGTGTCCATATAAAAAAAAAAAAAAATCATTAGATAAATAATAGGCATGAGACTCAAACTATAGACAAACAGTATAATAAAGAAGACTCTTACCACTTGAATCAAACACAATATATGTGATAAATATATATATATATATTTTATTTAAATTACACACACATTACATATTTTACTTATTTAAATTACAAACACATTAAGCATGCACCAGTTAGATTTAAAAAAACAGTGTCAAGAATGTAGTGTAACACCATTGTATTCATCCGAGTGCACTATTGGAAGATGACAATTTCTGATACCACAGGCTCAGAGTCATTGCACATCCATACATAATGAGAAATTACAAATGCTACATATATAAAAAATATAAATAAATAAATAAAAAGTATAGAATGAAATGTGACATCATTACATTAATCTAGTTGAAGAATGGCCCCATTTAGAATAAATGTAGTGCTTTTACAGAATACTTATGACAGTTTTCTGGAAGAGTGATACTATATAAATAAAAAATTTATATAGAATTTGTGTAGAATGATATGGTTTAGTGTAGATTTTTTATTATAAAATAAAATACTCAAAAAGATGTTTTTTATTTACAAAAATAACAGGGTCACATATTTTTGCAAAATCGTTTTGTATAAATTTTCTACAACAATATTTTTTTTTAATAGAAAACTTTCTAGGTATTTATTGTTTTTCTATTTTCAATTTAAATTTTTTTTTGCTCCAAGGAATGTGTTATTGCATAATGAATATACCTTATAGCTCCCCCAAAAATCCTATCAATTATAACATTCTGATCAAAAAAGCTATTTTTTTCCACCCAAAACTATGAGGATAAAACTATAAACTTATAAATATGTTGTCAATTTCAACTTCATCAATATCCTACATTTCATTCTTTGGTTCTTCCTTTTTCTTTGCTTAGGAAGGCAAATACAAAATCTCTAACTTCAGAACAAAATACTGCTGAATTAAACCTGTCATTTGTATCCAATGTATGCAGTCAATGACTTTATATTCCAGATTGAATGAGTTCGTAGCATCAAAGCCAAAAAGAGATCTCATTTCTCAGTGTAATTTAAAATAGTACCATTCAAGACAGTTCACCTGGCAGTGGCAACACAAGTGACTAATAAAACAAACAACATTCAATCTTTAAAATTAAAAAAAGTTGCTACACAATCCATATACTTGTCCTGCCACCAACTTTATTATTGTCTATATATTCCCAAATATATATATAGAGAGAGAGAGAGCAGTCATGAGAGAGAAAAAGGACTACCAATATCATGTCAGATTTCTTCTTCTACCCCTAATAGCTACTGGTTGGTGGAATTTCTGCATCCTGTCTGTTCACAACCTCAATGAGCTTGTTGGCTATTGCACTAGCATACACTGATGATCCTTCACATATCTGTAACATCAAAACACAAACCAACACAACTTTATACTCTCAAAAAAACCATTTATGTGAAGCATATGATTTGGTGTTCTTAAGGCTGTAAATGAGTCGAAATGAATTGAATTTTAGAGTGTTTGAGTTCAATTTGAATCTTAATCCGAGCTTAAGTGGAGTTTAAAAAATCAAGCTCGAATTCAGCTTATCATGTATTTAGTAAAGTTGAGCTTGGCTTGAGTCAGCTCATTATGCTTGGAAAAATTAAACTTAAATTAATTAGAATATTAAGAGAAAAAGGAGAAAACTAGGAGCAAAAAATAAAAGAATGCTAATATAAATAACATTTTTTTTTTATCAATTAAATATGCAAATTTAAACAAACATCAAACATAAATAGAGAAATAATAGAAATAATAAAAATATATTTGATATATTACTAAAAGCAAATATGAATTCATATTTCTTGTATTCACAGGTCTTATCAAATTGAGTTATTGATTGAACTTGTTCATTTGATAACCAAATCAATCCAGATCAAACAAACTTTTAAACTTTTAACGAGCCGAGTGTGAGATGTTCAAGAACTATTAGTGTCGTTTGCAGCCTTAGATGGTTTATTTGGATCTCGGAATTGTGAAAAGATTTGTGGAAGGAAAATAAATGTAGAAGGAAAAAATGAAAAAAATTAACTGCTACTTCGTTTAGATTATCCTTTTCTTTTCTTTTTCTTTCACAAATCTCTCTACAAATTCAAAATCAAACACAGTCTGAAAGAAAACAAACTGAATCAAGTGCAAAAGAAGATCACCCACCTTGCTATTGAAGAGATAACTGTAGTTGTCACCAACAAGCCCACCAGCAACATGTTGGATATCAAGCTGAAGTTCATCTATGACCTTGGACACAAGCAACAAGCAATTGATTTTCTTGCGCTGAGCGAGTTTGATGGTAACTTCATCGTCAATGATACGAACATCAACCTCGGTGTCTTTGGACTTTCTCTGAAGCCATGAACTCCTCAATGTCGATCCATTGTATGATTGCTCTGGATCAGGCTTCATGTTGGATCTCTCTACGTCTCCGGTGGCACTACCATCGTCTTTCTTGTGTCTCTTGCTCCTCTCTCTGCCACACCGCTTCTTCTCCACAAGGATTTTCAGCTCATTGACTGTTCTAAGTAGCTCTTTGATGTAGTCAATAGCATCCCCAACTACTGATGCTCTATCAGACTTGGTTTTTGTATTCCCACCAAACACAAAGGGAATGTTGAAATTGTCAATCACATATAACCAACTAGTAACCACTAACAAATATACATATACATATACATATACATACATATACATATACATACATATATATATATATGTATATGCATCATCAAGCTGTGTAGTTCTTTAAATTAAAGGGTCCCATATATATATACACAATGTTTAGGAAGAAAGAAACTAAACATAGAATTGGACACAAAAAAACATTTATGAACAAGAATTTTCAAAAATAGGCCCTACCTACTAGCAAATTTTGTAAAGTTTTATTCATCCATGTGTTTTTATGTGTTTGTTTGATGTGCTTCTACATACTTGTAAATTCCCCAAAAAATGAAACAAGTTCGAGGAAAAGTAACTAAATAAATATATGCATTATCAAGCAGTTAGTTTATCATGAAAAGGTCGAATCTGGAAACCCTTAAGAGAGAGAGAGAGAGAGAGAGAGAGAGAGAGAGTGAGATTGTTATGGGAAGTGAATACCTTGGTAGGATTAGGAACCAAACTCCTCAAAGCCTTGAACCTATCATTCAAGTACTCTCTCCTTTGCTTCTCAGTAGCAAAATGTTTAGTAGTCCCCTTGCCATTGCTCCCTCTAGAAGCCTTAAAATTCATGTCCCCGTTGAACTCCAAAACTCCACTATCAAAATGCCTTCCTTCTGCATCTTGATACACACCTCCACTTCCCTCTCTCTCATCAACCCCACCACCACCAAACAAAGAACCAGTTCTTGATCCTCCCAGGTTATACCCATGCGGTAGAGACTGAAACAATTCCCTAAACAAAGGAGGCTGTGCTGGAAGATTCAAATGAAATAGAGGATCATACATTACACTTGACGCCGCAGACGCGGTGTCTGTTGCTGATGGAAGGTCCCCAAGAAACCCTAATGATGCCTGAAAATTAGCAGATTTTTGGGTTGGATTCATGAAAGATAATGATGAATTGGGTAGTGAACACCTTGGCAAGTGAAAGAGATTGAGGAGATCTGGTGTTGGAGGGTATGGATTGTCTGTTAGTGAAGAAGAGTTATTGAAACTCTGGTGTTGATGAGGAGGGTTATGAAAGCTCATCTCTTGAATCTCATGGTTAACACTATTGTCCCAATTGGATTGATCATATTGTAAGACTTGGTTAGAGTCATGAACCACTTCTTGCATCAAATGGGTATCAATGAAATTGTTGTTGATGTTGTTGTTATTGTTGTAACAGTGCTCCATGTCCAAACCCATTTGCTGCTGAAGCTCCACTTCCATGGCGGCGGCTCTGGCAGCTTCTTCTGGTGGTGGATTTTGATGGTAAGAGAGGTCTTCCATGGAGAAACTAGGGGTGTAATTTGGGACATTTTGTGGAAAACCATCTTCAGCTAAACCATCTTGCATAGTGATGTTGGGATCAAAGCAAGCACTTTCTTCATACATTTTCTTTTTCCTTTTCTTTCTGGATCACTTGATTTTGATGTTTGGTTGTCTCTCCTATATTTATGGGTCTTTGTCTCTGTGCACCATGTTAAAAAAGAAACATAAACATGGCAAAGGACAGTAAGTACCAAAAGGAATTCATTGAGACCAGGTCAAAACTGATAAAGATTGGTTCTACAAAGCTGTGAAGATCAAATTTATAAAAACCCTAACCTTTTGATGGGAAATTTTCAGCTGGAAATAGATTGAAAGCGGTTCAAGCACAACCCATAAAGGGAATTCTTCAATTAATATACATAGAAACATGAGTTGTGCTCATTACAGAGGAAACCCAACAGAGAACAAGAGAACAGAATCAAGAACTTCAAGATGAGAGAAATTTTTGAGAGAGAGAGAGAGAGGAGTGTTTGGTACATGAGATTTGCATATAAATTTCTGAAAGTGGATGTAGTGTGCAGAATTCTGATATTTTGTAATGCACTTTTTAACAGAGCACAGGAAGTTTGTTACTGAGATTCCCATCAATGGGTCCCACTCATTATCTCCCGTATTCTGATTTGCACTCATCCACATTATTATTCTCCTTTCATTTTCTCTCTCCCCCAGACAATCCAATTTTCTCCTTATATATTTAAGGATGATTGGTTTAAGAATAAATTATTTTAATATTTTTTATTAAAATAATAGATAAAAAATTAATAGGTTTAGAATGATTTTTTAATTTTTATAAAAAAAATGTATAAAAATAAAGAAGAAAGAGAATCTTTAATATTTTGTATAGTTTCATAATTTTTTAGTGACTTTTTAAAGAAAATTTCCAAATTAGGGGGCAATTTGAGAAGTAAGTTAAAAGCTAACTTTTAACTTTTAATCTATTTTGGATCATATCACCTCTCACATTTTTACACACAAAATGATAAAATAGTAAAAAAAAAAAAAAAAAAAAAACAAAAATTCAGTTTTTAACCAACTTTCCAAATCACTCCAAAGCCTAAGTACACTAAGAACTAAGGGGTGTTTTGGAAAGATAGTTAAAAACTGCTTTTGATTTTTTTTTACTTTTTTGTGAGATAGGGAAGTGGGTTAAAAGCGGGAAGTGACTTTTAACCCACTTTTCAAATTAGGCCTAAATATAGAATAAGACACAAATGTCGCAGAATAAGACATTTGTGTTTTATTTCATGTTTAGTCTTTTTAATATTCTTGTATTTACAAAAATTTTATTAACGTGCACCTTTTCTATATTAAAATAGTGTAATATACAATTCATTTATATATATAAAAAAGAGAAAGCAAAGTTAGAAATTAAAAATGAATTATCAAATATTTTATACAATACTCACATGAGAGTGCGATTTATATCATATAAGGCCAATAGTCGTGTGAGTATTATATAGAATATTTGATAATTATTTCCGATCTCTAGTATTTTTGAAAAGGAAAATAGAAATGAGAGCCTTTGGGTTGTCAATAACTTTGAAAGATGTATAAGTATGTATTGTAATGTATAAAAAATATATAAAAATATGGGTTAGTTACACTTTCACTCAATAATTTGACTCTAATTTACTTTAATCATTATAATTTCAATTCGAACAATTTAGTCATTTAAGTTTAGTTTCAATTTGGTCATTTCATCTAAATTTTTATTAATTTTATCTACGTATACACCTTAAAAAATTGATAAGTGTCCTAAAATTGTTAATATTAACCTACAACTTAACAAATTCTCAAAATTATTAATTTTAACCATCTATTTAGATGGAATGACCAAATTAAAACTAGACAAAGTGTAGAGACCAAATTGGTCGAATTGAAACTATATGAACTAAAGTGAAATTTGAGTCAAATTATAAGGGTGAAAAATATAATTAACTCTAAAAATATTTTAGAACAATTTCATAAAATTTTTAAATTTTTAATATATATATTTTTTACTTTATCATTAACATGACCTCAACAAAAATACCATAGTAGGGCCTTTTCTTTTTTTTCTTTTTTTTTTTCTCTTATTTTTCTCTTTCTACATTTTTGGGAGACTTGTTGCATGTTCTTTTTTGAAAGTGGCTCTTATATATAATTTATAACATTTACTCTCTCCTTTTTTTTATACGTCAGACTTTGAGACCACACAAACATTTACTTTCTACTTTTTAGTTTTTATTACGAATATTGCAATTTTTTGCTATGAGGATTTGTGACCAATAAAATTATGAGATTTTCGTATGTCTTTTGTTATGATGTTTTGTGGTGTAGTAACGTAAGTGTATACTATTTTTTATTATGAATAGTTTAATATTTGGAAAAAAAGGGCATTGTTTTGAACTACACAAATTTATAGCTATCGAAGATTTTTGCTCTTGTTTTGATGAGTTTTTATTTTTATTTTTAATTGAAGCTAAGATTTTAGATGATACTTGTTTTAAAAGCTAGTTATTATTTTACAACAAATTGGTAATTTTTTTCTCCTTTTCTTCTCTTTTTAAATTTTTTTGGACATACAATGGAGTGAGTTAGAGAACAATGCTTATTTGTGGCTCATATGATTAACAACCATTTACTCTCTCTCTCTCTCTCTCTCTCTCTATATATATATATATATATGTAGGTTATGTTTAAATAAGAAGAAGGCTCTCTCCACCAATTCTTTGCCAGGAAAACCAGCTCATGTGTTTGGAACTTTCCTCATAAAAGAGAGTTGTATGATTGGGAATTGACTGAAGAAGCTAGTCTGATTGCGGCCTTATCCTCAGCTCCTCCTTTGTGTAATGAAAATGCAGACTACCTGATATGGTCTAATGATGCGACAGACCATAATCAGTTCTCTGTGTCTGCCCTATATTCTTACAGTACATCCCTTCTTGGCCCTAATCTAAGAATCTGCAAGCATGTTTGGAGCTCTTTGTTGCCCCCCAAAGTCTCATTCTTTTGCTGGCTGGCCTGGAAAAACCGAGTGAAATCCTCAGAATTCTTACACAAGATTGGCATACTTGATAGCAGTACTTCGACTCTCTGTCCATTATGTATTTCTGAATTTGAAACTAATATTCATGTCTTGCTTCGTTGCCTTTTCTCTTGGCTGATTTGGTCTTCAGTCATTCAAGAATGGGGGCTTCAATGGTGCATTCCAAATTCAGTAGCTGGTTTATTTCATTGGTGGATGAGTGAGAAATTTCAGAAGTATGTCAGATTAATTTGGAGAGCCCTCCCCTTAGTCATTTTTTGGTCTCTTTGGAAGCATATGAATGATTCTATATTTTCCAAGGCTTAGCCCAATTTTTTTGGACTGCTTGAACTCATCAAAATTAGAACTGCCCTTTGGCTCAAAGCATTAGTCAAGGATTTCCCCTTCTGAGTGGATGTTATAGTTTTCAAGTGGAAGCAGATCAGGGGCGCAGTTTGATCTTCTTTGCTGCTGAATTAGTATGCCAGCTGCTGTCTGTTGTCTACATCTTATGCTGGTTTTGGCTCTGTTCTGGCTTTGTTTTGGTCTGAATCTAATGTTAGTTGTGCTTCTGCCTTTGCTGCTGCTGTCTATTGTCTGCTGCTAATTGGTCTTCTCAGCTTTCAGTCGAATTGAAACAATTCTGGGTGCTGCCACACAGTATTTTGGTTTGTGTCTAATGTTAGATTGCTGTTCTAAGTGAGTGTTAATCTGGTGTGCTGAGTGAGTGCTATTCTGCTGTGCTTCTTCTGTGTGCTGGGCACTATGCTTCAGAGCTTGCAGAACAAATTTTTGTTAATCATAAGAATGGTCCAAGGATGACTATATAAACCTCAGAGGTTTTATGAAGGATTGGTGGTTATGATCTGTTAACTGGTTCTGGGATTGATCTGCATCAGAAGGGTGTTTTGATTTTGCTCCCTCTTCTCTTTGTTGGTGCTTTGATGTTTGTGTGTGTACATCTTGTACCTTTTATCAACATCAATAAAGTTTCCTTTTTTTTTCCGTTCAAAAAAATGTTTAAATAAGATAAATCGTAAGGGAATTAAGCAATAAAATATATGTGTCCATATTATTTAAGAGTTTACTTTCGTTAGGAATCCTTGCGGGAGTGGAGCAATCAATTCCTATTTAGTTTGAAAATGTAAATGCTGCTTAAAAATGAATCGATCTTCCATTTCAATCCATTCCAAACACTGAAATCATAAGATCCTGAATAACATTTTCATTCGCACTTAAAATTACTGTCATTCAAATATAGTTGTAAAATTTGAAAAACAATACTAGAAAAAAGAGATTTTGCATTCTTTGGAGTTAAATTTAAAAGCCATGGGATTTACACCTATATATTTTTACTAAAATTAAAATAAATACGTATTTTTTTTCTAATTAAATGCGCTAAATCGATCAGTGAGTTGGATTTAGGAATAATAATAACTAAAAAATCTCATAATTTTTTTTGACTAATTATTGTGACATGTAATAATAAAACTTTAGAATATGAAGCAAACACTTATTTCAATACTATGATAAGTACAAATTAGTAAATAAGAAAATTATATAGTAAATTTTTATTTATTTATTTATTTTCGGGAATGACTTGCTTTTGGTTGAAATTTTAACTAGACCAGACAATTGACGTCTTTAACTGATAAGAATCATTAAACAAAAGGTTCTGACTAATAAGAGTCATTAAACGAAAGACTCTTACCTTTTAGACTCATTGAAAAAATTTAATTAAATCATATTTTTATAAATTCTTTCCAATAAGAGTATTCTGTTTAAATGGTGAATGACAAAGCTTTGTGGAAATCTGTGTTGTGCTCTAGGTATGGCAGAATCAGTGGGGGTTGGATGCCACCTATGTCTCACATAGGGGGGATGTCTAATATTTGGCAAGACATTGTGAAGTTGCCTTCAGTCAACCAGCACCTAGGGGAATTTTATGATGACCATTTTAAAGTATCTTTTGGTAATGAGAGGAGAATACATTTCTGGTCTGATGGTAGGGTATGTAGCAGAGGGTTGAAGGTTGAGTTCCTCAGATTACATCACTTATCTACCGAGAAAGAGGAAACTTTGCATCAAATCAGTGCTAAAAAGAGCAATGCAGGGGTGTGACAATTGTAGTTCAGAAGAAGGCTATTTGCTTGGGCAGAAGATGAGCTGCAGAGGTTATTAAGGCTGCTGACATCATCCCCTGCAATCAAGTATGAAATTGAAGATTCTTGCTCATGGTTAGCTAGCAACTCAGGTCAGTTTTCAGTGCTCTCTGTGTGGAAGTGGTAGGTGACAGCAAAAAGACCTGGTTTGAATGTTCCTGTAGGGTTATGGGTTAATCTGCTCCCAAAAAAAATGCAATTCTTTTGCTGGTTGGCTTGGAGGGATAGGGTGAAGATTTCAACTTTCCTTAAAAGGATTGGGGTCTTAGTTGCTACTACTAGTTCTTCTTGTGTGTTCTGCAATGCTGAGGAGGAAACTCTACAACATGTGTTACTTTTTTGCCCACTGATCTGGGAG